TAAATTCGAAGGAAAATGTAATGGATAGGAGAAAAAGAAACTACCATGAGACAAAGCTATAATTTTCATAACATATTTACCCTGGTGTCGGTCGTAAATTATGATTACCAACAACTGGTTTTTGATATACTTGAACGTGAGGATTAGGTTTTTGAGCTTGATTAACTAAAATGTAAGATGTTCAAAATAGATCTCTCATAACTACAGAGTGCCGTTTCAAAAGTCATGATCATATGTTAAACATGTATGATTCTATAAATTAATCAAGCTTAATCGAATACTTTTTTCTGTTTCATGTTCCATTTTATTGTAACATTCGTAAGTGCTTACAAGAAGCATAATGATAAACCAAAAGATAGCAACGAAAGAAAAGAAGGAAGCAAATCATGCAATGAAGAAACATTAAGTATGATACCGACTCCGAAAAAAAGGAAAGAATAGAAGAGAGGAACAAAAAGTTGAACCTCTAGTCGAAACTACTAGTTAGGCTAAAAGTAATCGCTTTCTTCTAGCCTAACATATAAATATCAAATCTTGACTTTTTAGTTTGGCGGTCAGTTTTTTATTTTTATAGATACAATACATACATATTCTTTAACGATAAACATAACCAGCTGTCAATATGAAAGTTTTGCATATGCTCAATATCATAAAACAATACATCATTTTTCTTTCGTCCATATTTACTTGAAATTATATGGTTATAATAGATTTTAAATCATTCACAAGTCTCACGACTATTTGAATAGTATTCATGAAATAGTTTTTGAAAAAAATCAACTAGCTGATAATTTTTTTTCGAAAAAAATTTATTCTTGTCACTGCAAAAGCTTTAATAAACGATAAATTGAAAGTATTAGACCATTAGAAGACTCTGAATATCATTAGATTTGGTAATATTGAATTCCTTCTGTATGAACACATCAAAACAAATGCTAATAAAGCATTTGTGAGACATACTCATGATTTAAGGCCTATTATAATCACATAAATTGAATTAAATATACAAAAAAATAAAAATAAAATGCTATTTATCATTTTATGACAACGAAACAGTGCAAAATATTTATTTTTATAGCCTGAAATGATAGTCTTTCATGAGTATATATGAATTTTATCTTTAAGAATAAAAATTTACGACTCTCTTCTCTCAGAAAAATAAAGTATTGATCTAAGCTTGATTAATACTAAAGTTATATGTATTCAAAATATGATCATGATTTTTAGGACGTTTTGCATATTTATACTTTTATTCCATTCATCCATATTTCGTTCGCCATCAGCCATTTTCTGTTTATGCTGATCTAATAGTTCATGATATTGATCATAATTACCTGCTTTTGCTGCACTAGAAGTTGGTGATGCCGCAGCCTTTATTTTATTTAAAAGAAAAGTAAAAAATAAATATTATATTAGATGAATTAACATACTGGTTCTCTAGCTGATGAAGGAGTAGATACTCGATTTATTTTCGCTTGTGGAACTACTGGGGGTGTAACACGTTGATTATTCATGTCCGGTAAATCCTATAAGAAAAAAACAATTGATAAACATATACTGACAATAATACTCTTACCGGACTACTATAACTTAATAGTAAACGATTATGTCCTCTATCACGATTCATATTTACTTGTCTGTCTTTTTCCATTAGTTCTTGTTGTTTTTTCGCTAAATTCTCTGCCTGAAATATACAAACATAAGTTTATGATTGTATATATTTTTTTTGTTTCTTTAAACAAACTTCTTCTTTAGTTTGTTTCTCTCGTGCTTCTTTTTGTTTGGCAAGTTCTTTACGGCGTTTTTCTATCTCATTTTCTTTATCAACCGCTATGATTGGTTTTCGATTAGCTTCACTCAATTTTTTCTCTTGTGATCCTCTGAAAAATAAAATCCATAGCTTTGAAATCATCAATTATCATTGTTAACAAACCGATTAGCAGCAGCAGGAGCTGCGGAAACTGGACGCTTTATAGGAGATACACCTCCATATGCCTTCACCGGTTCATAAGCTGATACTTTTGACGCCGCCGAACTCGGACGAGCAGAAATTGGTGGATGAGGAGGAGAGATAACATTAGGTTTTGGAACTACCAATGGACGAGGTATTGGTGGTGGAGTAGGATGCACAAGATCAACTGATAATCTTTGACCATGTAAAACAGTATGATTAAATTCAGCTTGATGCACCTATATATTATGAAAGATCAAAAAACAAAGAATCATCGATAACAGAACTATACTTCTTCTGCTAAGTGTTTTGGAATACGTCGACTGATGAATGGTTTTCGTAAAATTGTATTAACTGATGGACGTTCACTATACAATAATAGATATAGAAATTTATGTTCAATGCGGCTCAATTAAATTTTTCTCCTTTGTTTTTCATGCTTAAGACTACGGAAGCTTGTTTTCTTTCTATAATAGATATAGTAGCAAGAAAGTACAGACTTCAATGGATTACTTAATATATTAACAATCAATAACAAATTAAGTGCAGAGAACCAAAAAAATACATTAGCAAAAAAAAGATGGTATAATTATTTTTTTCTACAATGTAGATTAAGAGTAGTACGTCGAGGATTTTGTCCCTCCTTTATTAGTGTACATATGAAGAAATATTATCGAAATATTGATTCAGATACAACTTTTAAATATTGAGACAATAGTCGAAACTATATTTACAAATAAAAATAGATAAATGCTTGGTATACTCTTCTTGTATCTTATAGTAAAATATCATGCCATCTTTTTTCTAATAATTAGTTTTTTCTCTGAATTTTCGGAAGGTACGGGGTCACGTCGTTGTAAATTTGGACGCAGACACGACCCCGTCAGATCTAGTCTTTAATTCTTCTTCATCAATATATGACATTCTACGTTTGCATAAATAAGTAAAAGATCAAGCTTTTAGCTATTTATAGACTACTCTCAATACAAAAAAAGTAAAGTCAATATACAGTTATTTTTTGTTGATCGTTTTCCCATCATCTAATGTTTAAGAAATCAAAACTTTTCACTTAATTGAAAATCATAAACAAAATTTATCTATTTAAAAGTAACACGAAGTATGCACTTGAAAAAAAACATATAAGCAAAAGACTTTTTCGCCAAAACAAATGTGTGAACAGCACAAGAACTAAAGTAAATTTTAGCGAACCTTTTCGATTTGAGGAGGTTCGATTGTTTATTTTTAACGATGATTCATTGTGGTATAACTGTGAATCTTTTCTTCACTAACTAACACTCACACACCGTATCTATGTTGGTGGTTAAAAGTTAGAAAAAAATAGTTTGAATTTCTCAATTTCACAGTTCATTTTGTCTATTTGATATTTCTCTATTTCCGAAATCTGATTAAATGTTATTTTTCTAATTAGTTAAAAATAAAAATTTGACTACTTTGCAATGATACCGTGAACTTTTTCACTATATATCAATTATCGAAAAACAAACAAACTACAATAGTCTTAAGCAAGACAAATATTCGATTGAGGGACACTATAAATTATAATTTATCATTATACCGTGGTTCTCGTTTAAGCATAGATGCTATTAACGTTCGTAAATCGCCACTAAATTTCGCTGGAATAGGATTAAATGAACCACTAGAAATGAAAGAAATATAATATTTTTGTTTATTGTTTTTTTACAAAATATTAACTATTACCGAACAATTCTCATAATAAGACCATTCATATTATTGGCATCAAACTATAAAGAAAAAAAATAGTTTAGAATAATAATATATTGTAATTTCTTACAGCATGTTTGAGAGTAGTTAATTCATATAAAACACAACCAAGACTCCAAACATCTGATTTATTATTATATGGTTTCTGTTGACATATTTCAGGTGATAAATAATATGGTGTACCTATTTGTGTACGTGCTAATTCACATGTACTATGAAGACAAATATAAATTTCATAACACAAAAGAAAAACTCTTTCAAATTCTTACGAATTTAAAATTTTTGAAATTCCAAAATCACCTAATTTAGCTGAACCATCACGTGTTAGAAAAACATTCTAAAATAAAAAATTAACAAATCAAAAAAAAAAAAGATTTTCATATAACATCGTTTTTCTTTCATCATTTACTTGCGATTTAATATCACGATGAAGAACTTTTCTATCATGAACATGTTTAAGTGCTAGAGTTATTTGTACAAACCAATCAAGTATTTGATCTTCATTAAATAAAATACCACGTTGAGCTTGTATACGTGAATGTAAATCACCACCATCACAATAATCCATTACGATAAATAAACTTGCTGCATCTTAATTGAAAAATATTTTCTTGTTGTCTATCAATAAAAAAAAAAAAGAAGAATTATTAATTAAATACCTTCAAATGATTCAACATATGAAACAATATATGGATGTTTCATTTCACTGAGAACTTTAACCTAAGAAGAAAACAAAAAAACAAATCATCATCAATTAAAATTTAGAAAATAGATGAATTTGTTTTGTTTTTATTAATTCAACGACATACTTCTTTTCTTGCATCATCACATTCTTTTTTGCCCATCTATTTGAGAGCAAAAAAAAATTGAAATTAAAAGATTATTAATAATAAACGAAAAAATTCACTTTAGCAATTTTTATTTCTTTCATAACGTATTTTGTTTCGTCTGCTTTCGATTGAACAAGCCATGCTTGACCAAAAGCTCCAGAACCGATTAATTTTAATTTATTGTATTTCTCCATTTATTCAAGTATTTCGTCAAATTAAACTAAATATACAAGATTATTGACGTCAATATAAAATAATCATGAATCATCTGGATTTTCAACCATATTCTAACATTCTACCATCGATACAACCTCTAATATATACTGAAAAAAGGAATAAATAGTGGCGACCTCAAGAGTTTCATGATAGACCAACCGGTTGGATCGATGGCGTGTCACTCAATCAAACAGTTCTCGGCAATAGGCATTATCATTTACTTTTGATTATAGTATTTTCGATCGCTATTACATACAAAAATGCTTGATATCGAATGGCCATTTGCAACACATATGGTAAAAAAAATGTTTTAATAATTTAAATTATTTTCAAAATTTTCTATTTAAAGGATTTTCGTGGTCAAAAAATGGCTGAAAGACTCTTTCAAGTTATTATTGTCTTATTTGGCGTAAGAATATCTATTCGATTTAGTTTTAGTTGATCTAATGTTTTTGTTTTTGTCATAGATTATTGGTTTTATTGCTGGTTATATGATGCAACAATTTAGTATGACTATTTATAGTGTTCTTTTTGGAGTTTTGATTTCTGCTTTAGTATGTTATTTAAATTATAAAAGAGAATAAATATTTATTTATTTTTTTATAATAGTTAACATTACCACCATGGCCAATGTATCGTAATAATCCAGTTGAATGGCAAAAACCAATAGATTCAAATAAAGAAACAATTACAAATAAAAATGCTACATCAGCAAAATCACCAAAGAAAGATGTTCGAAAATCAAAAGGAAAAAAAGATGAATAGAGAAAGAAAAAAAAGAAAAACTTTGAATATTTTTTCGTTATTGTTATTGTGAAAAATAAAAACGGATCGTAGTAGAAAAGAAGAATATATACTATCCGACTTACTTACTAATGAATTCTATAAATGATTTCATGCATACTTTAAACATATATTGGTATTCAATTTTTTGATCTGAAGTTTTGTTTCTGTCAAGGAAGGATCTTCAAGTGATAAATTGCTTTTAAACTAAGACTATGTTTAATCGATAGAACCTTGTGAGTAAGTGGAGTAATTCGAGTTGCTGAGCCTTTATGGATGAGACATCGAATTCTTAATAGATTTTTCGGTAGAGCTCCAGTTTTCAAGCGCTATCATACTTTTGAATTTCGACTTGAAACTTCGCTCATATAAAGACACTTATTAGACTATTTTTGGACGAAAAGAGGAACGTATGATTTACGCTTGACTACTGGGATTCCATAAGAAAAATCAACTAAAGATTCGATATCTCAAAAATAAAGACCCAGCAACTCGAACTGTTTTTGGATATTTACTTAGAACCTATCGATTGAATACAGTTCCAGTTTAAAGACGATTTGTATCACTTGGAAAAACTTTCGTCGTTAGTAGTTTTCATGATCGTAACAATATTCTTAAAGTGTTAATCAAAGCAATTGATTCTTTTTAAAGATATGCAATGCTAATAACTGTTTAATAATAGACGTTCAAACATTAAATATCTTTGTGTATTCGTTTAGGATTCAAGTGAAAAAAAATGAAACATATTTATTAATCATATGTGTACATGTATGTCTTCAATGGTAGAATAATCAATGATATGTTTCGGTACATAAGAGTGATAAAAGAATTATTTATTATACAACACGAAAAAGAATTTATTATATCTCTACAAAGACTAAACCGTTCGTTCTTTCGGTATTTACTGAAATTTAGAATAGTGTGTGTAATCTACATGTGAAAAATTATAGTTTGGTCCATCGTCAACTGAATGTTTAAGATACTGAAGAAAAAAAAAAGTCATGTATTTTCGTTTGGTTGAAAATTATCCTTGCAGTTCACGTAATAATGAAATTTTACCATTATCGCTGTCTTAAATCTATAAGTCATTTCTAATAGCAAAAAAAAATGTAATATTTCGTTGAATTTAATAAACAAATGAAATATGAGATTATATTATGATTAATTGCTATAAGCGTCATTGTATATGAGTCATCTTCCATATATCCGAGAAGACAATATGATTATGTGTCATGCAATTCCGCTCTAAAGATTTATGAAACATTGTAAACTCATTCAATATTGCTTTTTGATAGAAATCAAACGGTTCAAACAGCTGTTTTCATTGAACTTGATGCATCAACATTATTCTATTGAATAGCTTATTCGAAATTTTAGATAGTGAACTGTTTTATCTTTAAATGCGATTCAAGATATTTTCGACAATAGTAAACACTCAATAAACATATTTATTCAAAATTTTTGTCGAAACTCAAAACTTTTAAGACACTCTTTAATGAATAAAATTGTTTAATTTTTATTAATAGATCTATTAATTATTTTCCTTTTAAGTAATCACCAATACAAGTCTTTTACAAGGATGCCAATCATCAATATGAACTATAATAAACAAAAACATATTTCTATTAATCTTTGAAAATATTTCTTATTTTTATTTCCTTATTGTAACGAATATAAACACCAAAAAAATGACAAAAGAAAACTTTCATATTAGAAATTAAAAGAAATATGATCAGTAATACATAAATGAAAAATAACTGACTAAATACAATCGTAAAATATAGGTTCTATATAATGAAAAAAATACACACGCATGCAAATAGAATATTTATTCTCTTAACGTTTTCGTGGTGGTCGATTAGTTGCTGATGCTGAATTTGTATTTATACTTCGTTCTTCATCAAAATCATCATCAGTTAATGCAGCCGATGCAAAACGTGGTGTTGTTGCACGAATAATTTCATCAACAGGTGCATTACGATTTTCATATAATAAAATATTTAATGTTTCTTCATAAATTCTTGCTTCAAAAAATTCAACCTAAAATTAAAAATAAGACAAAACAAAAAAACAAAGAAATTTAAATCAGTAGTTTTTATTTTTTTCAAACTTTATTTTGTTTTCGTTCAGTTGCATAAACAATAGATGTACAACAAACTTCAGCCATTTTTTGTCCATTACCATAAAAACTCCAACAACATATTTCTTCACTACCAGTTACATCTTTTATAAATAAAATTCTATTATGTAAACGAATACTTAATTTATCAAATAATTCAATATTTTTCATTAACATTTCATCTGATGATCTAATAATGATGATAAAGAAATATAGAAATATTTATTAAAAATATTAACTTACGCTGTATATGAATATTTATTATTATGTCGATTAATTGCTAATTTAACAATTGGTTTACGTACTGTAGCTACAATATTTGGTAATTCTTTTGCTGATGTTAACATAATTACTTTACAACAAGCATCTGTATCACCGGCATTTTTTCTTGAACGTGTTCGTAATTGTTGTTCAATAAGATCAACAAGAGATTCTATACAATAAAATTTAGCTTCATGTAATAATTCATTTAATGTTTGAGTACATTCAGGTAAATTAATTGTTCCATCACGTAAATAATTTAATATAACATTAAAATGTTTACCATCACGATCGATTAATACCCAACCTAATTATAAAGACAAAAATAATGTTTCGATTATTTTTTTCTTAAATCAACATTTCTTTCGATATGTTGTCTTGAGAGTGTAATTTGTATAATTCTAATAGTTAAGAAATTATATTGAAAAAAAAAAATCACGCATGATTAATTTCAATTCGAGATTAACATTTATTTAAGCAAAATCTATTATAAAATGATCGAAGTGTTAGATAAATGTTTTTTTACTAATCATACCATAATTTTACGGACTACTTAAGTCACCACATTTTAAATAGTTTTCAATACTATATAGGTTCAATTTTTTTGGAAGCAGTCAAATCGTACTTTGATACTCTCAATGAAATATTCTAGTCGCTATTGAATAGTCATTCGTAAGATAAGAGATACTTTTTTCGAGTGTTTTTGTTTGAGATCAACTCAATCAATTTTAGTCTATATTTTTTTTTGTTAATTTGTCTTGAATATATTAAATACAATTCATGAATTGATTCATATATACCTTCACTGTCTTGCACAACTTCCATACGTCCACTAAACATTGCTTTAAACATAGTATCTTCTTTCGTTAAAGTATCCAAACTTGTTAGAAAAAGATGATTTCCCACATTAAGTTTAACATATTTCCCAAAATGATTATTAGGTCCTGTCATTATCTGTCGATTCGACGTCGATATTGATGGAACGGTGGGTGTAGTTGTATCACTCATCTAAAAACAAATATAATTTATATACCTGTTTTTTTTTCATTTAGATACATCAGATAAACTTTTTAAAATTTTTCAAGCTAGTAGAATCAATAAAGAAATATAGTAATAATGAAAAATATGTTCTCATGTTTATATTTATTGATAGTATAGACTTTTATAGTTTTCATGTAAGATATAGTTTGATTGTAAATGAACCTAATGTCAAAGCAAAATATAAATGTCTATTTAGTTTAAATCAAAATTATCAATATAATTTTAAATGACGAGTTATCTCATTGATTAATTTCGAAGGTGCTAAAAATAAAAAAACAAAACAAAACAAATACAATAAATGATTCGTATATATGTATATATTTAATATTACCTGGTCCAATCCCAAGTACTGTTTTACTACCGGGTTCAATTTGCGTACGACCTTGAATAAAATTTTTATTTACAAACAATTAGTAAAATATAAAATTTTTCTTCATACCTGCATCTCGTATCAGACAAGTTGTTAGACCTTTACGTTTAGCTTGAAGTCGTAAATTTTCTCTAGAATAAATGCATTTGAATAGAAACACTTTTCTTTTTGTCTTAAAATTCTATATTACAAATCATCGGCTGATTCACATTTACAAACAACTTTTGCTTGTCCACCAGAAAACCATGTATCGACAGCATCAGGTACTTGTTCACATGCTTTTTGAAAACAACCAAGTGTTGCATGCGAACACTGTTTTAAGAAACAAATTTATTCTTCGTTTTTTAATTGAAAAAATTTTATTTCACTTACTTGTGCTGCAACTTTTCCTATAAGAGAAATATTTTTAATAAATAAAATTTTAATTTTAAAATTTACCTTTTCCCATTTTCAGATCGTTTCTTACTATAAGTACCATCTAAAATTCGATTAATTTTATTATAAAAAAGTTATTAGTACAATCCCTACGAGATTTAAATGTGAAACACGATTTAACTGCTGTTGTGAATCTTAAGTATATTGCTTTATTCTATGTACTTTGGAACGCATTTCTTTTACACAGCTTATAGATCGTGTTTCACAAAATGTTCATTTAATATACTCACTTTATATTCTCCTTCAGTATCGGAACAACCTGGTTCAAACTAAAAAAAAAAAGTCTTCTGTAATTCTTAGTTTGTACTATGATGTCTACTCACACTTGTTTCATCATCACGTTCATCTCTACCGGAATCAAATGCATTCGAAACAACTTTTACATTGCTACTAACAAATAAAGATGAACTGAATAGCCAACCAAGTGCCAAACCTTAAATTAACATATTATAATTTACATAATATTTTTTTTCTTTCTTTAATTTTTACCTCCAAAAAATCCAGCTAAAAGACCAGCTATAACATTTTTTTCACTAAACCAAGGAACTTGGTTTATAAGAAAACTATAAAATGAAATAAATCAGTATTAGCTAATTTTTATTAGAAATATAACATCAACTACGTCTTACTCGCCTGAGAACGATGACATCGTTGATAAAAAAAAATATGTTAAGTAATAAAAAAATAGAAAAAAGTATTTTTAGCAAATGTTAGTCTAAAAGAAAAGAACAACACGTTTTTGTCATAAAATGAATCTTATATGTATGTATATATATATATATTGATACTGTGCACACATTTACATCAAAATATGCAAATGTGTAGCATGATTTTTCTTTCAAAGATGAAGTCTATGATGGAAGATTATTAATCTGAAGAGAAGATAAAGTCCGAGAAAACTGATTTTAGATATTATATAGAAACATAGTACATCGAGCATGAAGGTCGACATATATCTCATGATTAATAAGAAAGAAAAAAGAAAGTAATAAGATGAATGAGAATAGATATTGTTCATACGTCAATCAATCGTATTTTTCATTATCAACAATAATAAACGTCATTCACAAACTCATCTATAATCAATGATAGAATTATTATCTCTATATTAATAGAATAAAAGAGAGCTTTCTTTTATTTTTATGATTTTAAAATATACAATTGCTCAAGTGCAAAACGTGTACCATTAGTTAAATTTTCTTTTTGATTATAATCAGCTGTCGTAAGTAAATGAAATGGTAATTCACACATGCCTGTCGGATGAACATGTGCATTAAACATATGTATGTTTGTTAATGAATTAGTTCGTTTATAAATATTTCCTATTTGTTCATATGAAAGCCATGCATAAGCATCAACTTCATTAGGATCAATTTTAATCAATATCTCATCACTTATTCTTGATGACCGTACATGAAAATAAATAACTATATGATGGCGACGTGGTAAACCATGACTAAGATCAACTGGAAATGCTGACTAGAAAAGAATTTTATCGTTACAACAAAAAAACAATATATAAATATATATATATATTCTTATTTTTACCTCCCATAAAGCTAATGTTCGTGATGTTTCAAGTTCATCTTTATTTACTTCAATACCTACTTCTTCATATAATTCACGAATACCTGCTTGTAATAACTATATTTCTGTATGTAATTTTATATAAAAACAAATAATATATATTTACTGTTTCACCTTCTTCAATTCCACCACCAGGACATACCCAACATGATGGAAATGTTCGCATATGACTAGCTCGTCTTGTTATAAGAATATGATGATCGTGAGTTTCAAATAATACGACTATTCCAACTGCAATTGAATTCGATGGATTATCAGGAATAGTTGATGAATTATTTTGCAGATGAAGTGTAGTAAATGGACAATACGATGGACGCTAATCAATAACAAAAATTCATTATAAATATTAATGATAGCAAAATAAAACAAACTCGAAATAGAATTGTTGATGTATCATTACGTTGAATAATTAATTGATCATTTTCAAAACAAACATCCACATTAACATATTCATTATTCGGTTTTAATTGATGAACTAAAGGCTATAGACGAGAAAACAAAAAACAAAGATAAACATATTTTTTAATTTTATTTAAACTTACTGTAATAAATTCAGGATATATTTTTTGTTCATTATTATCAATTAATAGAATTTTTATCTTAAATCGCTTATTATCTGTCATCTAATATAAACATGAAGAAAAAAAAAATATGAGTTAAAGAGAACACTTTGTACAAACTAAAGGTTTCTTTTCTCTTGTTTCAATACACATAAGAAACAAAACAGTGACAAACAGTTTACATATACACACTAAAATAATCTAGTCTTATGATTACAAATTAACGTTGTTGAGCACCATAATATTGAGCAACATTATATGATCCACTTGGATATGATTGATGTTGTCGATGAGATGATGGATAAACTCCTTGTGGTTGTTGTAAACCAACAGGTAAATCATGTCGAATTGGTCCTTGACTATTAGCTGTTGTATATGGATCATTACGATAATTTGAATAAAGATTATAATCACTAGAAAAAAGAAAAACAAACTGTTGACTTTTTTGTTTTTAATAAAAATATCGATACTAACCGTTGACCAGGAAATTCCGGATCACGTGGTCGATTAGCATAATATTTTTCATAAGGATCATAATTATGATAAGCATCTCCTACTGGTGGAACTCCTTGAGGTACTACTGCACCACTATAATATGGATCAACAGCTGCTGTACTTAGATGACGATCATAGGGTCTATACAAGAGAAAAAAAATATCATGAAAACAAAAAAAAAAAAGATAAGAATTTTCTTACCGATTCGGACCATAACCATCTACTCGAGCATGTGAAGGTATTTCACGATAATGATGCGCTTCTGTTTGTCCACTAGCAACACTACTGCCATAATCTGGTGCATCATAACCAGTACTATAACCATTATCACGTCCATCTTCATAATAACGACGAGGATCCGATCGAATATTATAAGGACGTGCTCGATCATAAACACTATGATCAACTGGAATACTGTCATAAGGACGAATATCATTACGAGCCCAAGATGAACTATGATGACGTATTGGACCAACACCACCAACTGATGCACCTGAACTATATCGAGGAAGACCATTGCTATTCCCTTTACCTGCAGCACGAGCACGAGAACTAGATGATAAAACATGAATTCTATTTAGTATATTCGAATATCAAACAATCATACTGTCTTAAAGCACTAGCAGGTTCCGGTTGACCTGGTCGATGCCGAACTGTACTTGTTGAAAGCTAAATGAAAAATGATTTTATTTAAAAACCAAAAATTTAAAAAATACTAAACAATCACTTACTTCAACACGTAATCGTTTACCATGAAATTCTTTATTATTCAACGCAAGTACTGCTTTTTCAGCTTCTTCTATTGAACCATAATGCTAATCAATAGTCAACAAATACATGAAAAAAAACACATTATCAATTACTCATATTCTTACCACAAATCCATAATCTTTAATTACTGATGCTTCAAGTACAGTACCAAATGGTGAAAACCATTCACTTAATTCACCTAGATAAGTAAATAATTGATGAAAATAATATATATAAATATATATGTAATTGTTATTATACCTGGTTGTGTTGCTGGATCAAGATTACCAATAAATAATTTTGTTTTTACTACTTTAATTGGTCCACTCATTGTATCTGTTCGTATCTGCATTAAACAAAAGAAAGAAAAATAAAAAATATAATTATTTCAATTAAATAAAAATTTTCCTTTACAAAATTTTAAAGAAAAAAAATATATTTATATAAACGCAATGATATTATCTTCATCTTCGATATTCCTAGATTTACATGAATGACAACGATTGTATCGAAACGATTAGAAGCAAGATCACAACACAACACAACACAACAAAAAAAAAAGAAGACACAAAACAAATATACATTTTAAAAAAAAAAATTAGAAAATAAATAACTTTACAGATACACATTTTTTTTTGCGTTCTATGAGAATAAATCAACGAATTCTTTTAGATAAATGAATCGGTTCAGCGTCAATGGCGCATAATTATTCGTCATATTGTGTTCATCATCGTTCGAGCATAGATCAAATACGCAATAAACTGTTAGATGAATGAGAATAAGAAGCGAAAATACGTGCGTATTTAATTCGTAACGAAACGCGAAAGCGAAGAATGCACAAGCTAGAAGAATAATGAGAAAAAATGCATTCGATTTAATATAGAATAATAAATAGAAAATTCATCTTTTTTTCTTTATTTTTTTTAAATATTTAAATTCATTCATATATTATGGAAAACAATGGCATTCGATAAGTGCATGAAAAATGTCAAGCAAGCATACTCAAATCATCTAAAGCGAGATCGTATATTAGCGAAATATTACATTCGATTGTTCTAAAAACTAACTGATACAACCAATTTAATGTTCATTGATCATTTTCAATATGATAAAAGACGATATTGATATTATTTTTGTAGATGCGGACTAAAACCAAAACTTAATAGAAGAGAAGTATTCTATCTGATAATAATATCAATAGTCCATCTTTCTTCGATTCAAATATAACATGCAATGCAACATTGTATCTATGAATAATTAATCGTTGAATCGACATCAATGTGCAGGCAATAATATCTGTTTGAAAAATTAAAATTCACCGAGAATATTACTGACGAGAGAAGTTCCCTAATTGATGGATCTCTTTTGAGCCGGACGTATATGCATCATGTAGACTTTAATGAGTTTTGAATACCTTGAAAAGAGTTCGGTTCCATCATTTATTGCTACTGGCATATTACAGTATTTTTTCTATATAATTCTACGGTTCCTTAAAGAGACAGCAGCAAAAATTGATTTTCGAATTTTGATTTGAAATTTTGCTTAAAAACAAAGGTTGACGAGAATAGAAAGTATCAAACCATTTTGATTTATTCTTGTCTTAAAATAAGAATATATCGAATCTAGAGATGTGTATGAGCGATGTAAAAAAACGCGCTTCTACTAGGAATGTATCTTAGGATAGGAACCAAGAAAATATCTGAAACTTTCATAATAAATTATTTTCATCAAGATTTATTTCTATGCAAAGTTTTAAATCGAAATTTGAAAATCAATATTCCTGCTGTCCCTAAAAGGAATCTTGAGATTATATGGAAAAATACTGTAAAAATATTATATATCAACAACAACAAGTTATAGCGTCGAACTCTTTTCAGTATATTTATGATCCATTAAGGTCTACATGGTGTACATACTTACAATTCAAAAACGAGTAATTAGTGAAGGTACTTCTCTCGTGACAAATTAGATTGCAATGAAAAGAAACATAATTGTCTAATGAGGAAGTCTTTCGAGATGATAAAAAAAAACTTTTTCAATGAAACTTGTGTCATTAGGTAGAATATACTCAGACCAGACAAAATCTATAATGATTCATATCCTTGTTGTTTCCTTTTCGAGTTATGACAATTTTTCTAAAAGAAAGTAACAAAGAACATGAAGTATTATAGATTTTGTCTAATCTCAGTGTAGACTCGACCTAATGACACAAGTTTCGATTTAAAAGTTTTTTTTTTATCATTTGATAAAGTTTCCTTTCGTAAACAAAAAAAAAGGATCTTGTTTATTGGTATATTGTCTTTCTTGCGCAATATCAATGCGATGCGACGTATATGTAATCTTATTCGAAAGAAAATAAAAATATAAATTTGTTTAAGCGAAAAAGAAAATAATCGAAAGTATAAATTCTCACATACCTCATTCATCTGAATGATAATTATTTGTCATAATGAATTTTTCTTCTTCATATGAATGACAACATAAAGCTTTGACGTCAATCCATTGACGTATACAATATCACAGAAATCAATCACGAATATGACGATGATATTTAATTGATTCAATTCGATTTGATGAAATCATTACAAAACCTACAGTTTTTCCTAATGTGTTAACAAGTATATAATCACCTGTTTTTTGCCATACGAGTTTCATTTGAATATAGGATACATATAAATGTATGGAAACCATAATTTAATAGAATAAAATGAATCATTATAGAATTTAATCAGTTTATCATGAATTGTTCTTAAATATTTATTCACATGTTAAAATATATTGAACCCAAACGACATGCACAAAACAAATGAAAATATCGCTAACTAAATTAAAATAAATTCATTAAGTCAATATTTAATGAAAGTTTTCTTTAAAAATAAAATTATATAGGTTAATATATTGATGACTAATTAAAATGTTAAAATGAATCATCGATTATATTCAATAGTATCGAACAAATGTATATAGACAAAGTAAAATCAAGCGTGTATTACTATTCTATCCCAATGATCTCTATAGATGTAATTTCAAACTCTAGGAGAACGAATACATATTGTTGAAAGTACAAGACACGTTTTACAATAACTACAAAATTCAGGCAAGCAGTGCGTTGCCTTTTTCGAGCCTCACGCTGTCATAGAAAAAAAAAACACTACCAAATATTCTATTGATAAGAACATAGTTTTGATACTCAAAATAAGATTGAAAAAAAAACAAGGAATCTAAACTTCTTACATGATGATTATTCTTTTGAAATGACTTATTCTTAAAGTATTGAAATTTTTCATTATAAGTCATTTATATAAAGTCTTCTTTAATGAATGGGCGTCATGTATTACTTATAAATCCTATGATTAATTTATTTATTATGCTTACAAAAAAAAAATCGAGAACTAAAAAACATTTGCTTGAATAATAATGTTAGATCATAGCCGAAAACATAACTCTAGGTTTTTTTTGGGGGGGATACATTTTGAGATCTTTGGTTTTCTTCGAAATTCTTTAATCGAAGTCTGAAATCAATCGAACAAAAGCAGTCTTTTCTATATAACTTATACTTATTAACATACAAGATTATGTTGTTGATCTTTTAAATTTTCATTATGATTCAATGTTCATGTCAGAATCAAAGAAGATTTGGTGCAATTTCAATATACGTAAACAGTGGCAACAACTGATAATCTGTAGTTTTCAGGAATCGACAAAATAGAACTCTAGACGTCATTGTGTCTGATTATTATTTAAGAGAAAACTATTTTAAAACTCGTCATTTTCATAAATAATTAAGAAACTTTACTAACAATTTATAGAATTCGATTGAATACTCATATAATTTTGTTTACTCAATATTAAGATGTAAGAAGATAATCATCTGAGTCATGCCTTGAACTATAGATTTTTTTTTTGAAAATGATAGATTTTAAAATAATTTTATCTTATATAGTATCAAACAACAAGATATTCGAACTTTTTCTCTTTCAGTGGTTGTAAAACTGCACATCTCTATCCGTTACTACTATTGAATGATTGAGTTTACATCGACTTCTCTATGATTCTAGTGTGAACATGAATACTGAAATAAATATTATATTTAAAAAAGAAAAATAATCAGACAACATTAAAGACCTTGATTTTTAACTAAGAGAAAACATAGTTAAACATTATCTGATTTCTTTTCATTAAAATGGATAAAATAGTTTCAGTTTTTTATATACTGAATATATATATATACGTACATCTTGATAGAACCATAATGTATCAGTTGATTCAATTTTCGTGAATTTGTATCAAAGTACAACTAGTAGAGATTTGTATCGACGATATATTTCTATCTACACACATATCTATTTCTAAACAACACTCTAGTGGTAGCCATTCAAATGACTTCTTGTCCTCTCACCAATCGTTATTGACGAATACAAATTCATGGAACAAACTATGGATCATTTTTATTTTTTTTTTTGGACTTATTCCTATGAACGAATATATACATATTTCTAGTTTATATTTAAATGGAATTATAAAATCGAAATGTCTCAACAACAATCAAATTCTATTTCGAATGATTTTTCATATTTATTTTTTCGTAATGGAGTTTCTTTTGAAATAAATTATAATGATGATGAAGATAATACTACTACTAATAATATGTGCTCTGATGATAAATCTCAAATATTAAAATTAAGTGATTTATGTTGTACATTAATTGTACAAAATGAAAATTTAACTGAATATGCATGTGATGTGATACCAAAAGAATTATTTTATCCATTATTTCGTGCTGCATTAAATTCTACACAAGATGATACATGTATAAATATATTAATATCACGATGGCCATATAGAATATTTCGTTTAGAAAATTTTGTTAAAAAAAAATTAACATCATTAAAAATGTTATTATGTGAAAAAACAGCATTACAAAGAACAAAACAAGCTATTAAATATTCTGTTATTTTAATTCCACGTTTTATTGATTCAATACGACAACAACAACAACAAATAAATAAAAAAAATTTATCAAATTTACGTATACTTGATGTGACAAATTTTCCTGTTGTTGAATTAATATTAAGATATATTTCTACACATTGTCGTTTAGCTGAAAAAGAAACAAAACGTAATCAATTAATTGATATCTATCATCAACAACATCAGCATTTATTACCTGTTATTAAATCTGATGATGAGAATAATAATGACAGTGAAATAAATACTTGTACAGGTAAAACATTAAATTTTGTTAGTGTAACCTTTGTTTGTTTTTTTTAAAGATTAGCCTTTTTATACTAACTGATGATCAAAAAGTAATTAGACTTATTCACTTTTGAGCTTGTTAGAAGGATCTGCATCATTTTGAAGTTATGAGTCGATATTTTCGAAACTTTTAAATCGAACTTCAGTGCATTTAATGATTATCTAAAGTAGAGTTAACATTTTCTCTATTAAATAGTGTACTAATGATATTTTCTGTATTCAAACTTGATTATCATATCCTTGAAAGTGCGATTCATAATTTATTAAGCAGAAGTCGTAGAGAAATTTCTGTAACTATATGCAGAAATAATACAAAATTTCGATTCTAATTGAATATTTTCAAAACTTCTATAAGAGACTGGAAAGTCAATGAACATTTAATCTAATTATTTTCTCACCAGAGAAACGATCTATCTAATTTTTTTTCTGTTTGTCTTGATTTTGTATATTTATATCAGGTCTCAATATACTATTATATATTTCGATTAGCTCAGAAAAACTGATATTGTTTATCTTTCATAGTCATAATTTGATCAGTTCATGCTATTATGTTGAGCTAGTTATCATTTAGGACATCTTGAATATAAATTTTTATCTGGATGAAAACTTAAAAACTGCATTTATTAGAACAATCTAAGCCTTATTATTAATGGCGTTCATTGCCTTTTTTCCGTTGCTATGGAAACTTAGCCAATGCTTATTGGCCTCCCCTTCCCTGTTATTATGAGGGTAATCGTAAATATTTTTCTTCAAAAAAAAAAATATTTTTTTTCTGTAGATACTCAATCAGTAAATTCAAATGATAATAACGATGATCTTATTAAAACAAGTTCATATCCAGATGATATAATTATTATTCGTTTTGATTGTATTATTCAAGATTATCGAACATATGTTGAACTTCTATCTGCTCTTCGTTCATCAACTCCAAATATTCAATTACAAATATGTACAATTGATATGCGTTGTATTGGTTTAGCACTTGTTAGTAGTTTTCTTGATCATGTTGATAAACGAGTAAATCATCCATTCATTTTTCTTTTGTTGTTGTTGTTTGTTTAATTTATTAAATAGAGATTTTTCTTCTTTTTTTAGTTTGTTCATACACTTCGCGTTCCATATAATGTATTAACACGACAAAATTTAAAATATTTTCTTCCACGTTTACCAACTCTAACAAAATTACATACATTAGATTTATCATGTAATTTTATTGATTTTCGTCTTAATCATGATGATTTAGAACAGTTTTGTAATGTTTTATCACAATTAAAACATTTAAAAAATCTTTCATTAAGTGGTTCACCCATAACAAATCGTCTTGAATATATATTAAATTCTATTGAACATTCATTAGATGTATTAAATCTTGATTTTTGTTCTTTATGTGAAAATGATCTAATTAGTTTATGTCAAATGAGTACACGTCATCAATATTTACATTTAGATTTAGGTACAAATCGTTTAAATCGTTTTATGCGTACATTATTACTTGTTTTAATGAAACAAAAACGTCTTGTTGTATTAGAACTTGATTATAATCGTTTTTCATCAAATGATTATCTAGAATTAATAGCTTGTTGTCAACGTTTAACAACATTAAAATGTTTAAGTGTACGTGGACCAAATTCTTTAACAACACAATTAGCCGCTGCAACATTTATTGGTGAACATTATCCATGTTTACGTTCATGGAAAATTGCTTCACCTATTGAATATTCTTTGAATCGTTTTGTAGGAAATGATGAACAAAATTATTTAATACAAACTATCATGCCATATGATATATTTGTTAATGAAATGAATAAACGAGCCAAATGTCTTGTTTCAATAGCTGAACTTACTGTGTGATAAATACAATTTTTTAAAATTGTTTTCTTTTTTTAAAGTTCTTTTCATGTTTTTTTCTTGAATAAAATAATAATGTAGATTATAGTTGAAAATATTTTTCAGTTGTTATAATTTGGCATCG